TCCCATTTACAGCACAGAACTCCATCCTGAAGCAGGAAGCTGTCCCACTGGGCCCAATAGCTTTTAGTGGTTGAACTCATTGCTGAGACGTCGCTCCACTTAGGCTTGGGAGCACTGGCCTTCATCCATTCCAGGATCGGCTTGATGTCCGGATCTTCCTGCTGTGCACGTTGAAAGCTGTCCTTCCACTCGTTGCTGAGGTGGTCTGCCCTGAGCATCCTCACGGATACCACTTCCTTACTCTCTTGCCTAGTACAATGTTTGCAATCTTCAGGACAAGGTCTTCGTGATAATGCATCTGCGTTGCCATGAGATTTCCCGCTGCGATGTTCGATCTCAAAGTCGTATTCCTGCAGTAGTTCAATCTACCTCGCAACTTGTCCTTCTGGATTTTTAAACTGCAATAGCCATTTTAGTGCAGCATGGTCAGTTCGTAAGTGAAATTTTCGCCCCAGAAGATATTTGCTAAAATGCTGCAACGACTTTACCACAGCTAGCAATTCGCGTCTTATGACACAATAGTTCCTTTCCGGTTTTGACAACGACTTGCTGAAGTACGCTATCACGACCTCTTGGTCACCATTCCGTTGAGACAACACACCGCCAAGTCCTATATCACTTGCGTCTGTGTCAACTATAAATTCTTTGCTTGCATCAGGGTATCCCAAAATAGGTGTTTTGCACAGACGGTCCTTGAGCTCCTGGAATGCGATATTACAACTTTCATCCCACCAGAAATGTCGCTTCTCCGCGGTTAGCTTATGCAGATGTTTGGCTATATCTGCAAAGTTCTTCACAAAACGTCGGTAGTAGGAGCACAAACCCAAAAATGCTCTAACCTGCGTCTTGTCTTTCGGAACCGGCCAATCCTTTACAGCTGCGATTTTCTCTGGATCCGTGCGGATACCTTCTTCCGACCCTACATACCCCAAAAAGTTGACTTGCCGTTTGAATAGTGAACATTTCTTCGGACTCAACTTGAGGTTGGCACTCTTAATCTTCATGAGCACGCGTTCCAAGTTTTGAAGGTGTTCCTCAAACGTACGGCCCACGATGATGATGTCATCCAAGTAGACCAGACAGGCGTCGCCAATTAGCCCGGTGAGTACAAGTTCCATCAGCCTTTCAAACGTTGCTGGAGCATTGCACAACCCAAACGGCATTACTTTAAATTGCCACAGACCCTTTCCCGTCGAGAACGCAGTTTTCTCCTTGTCCTTAGGGTCAATTTCAACTTGCCAGTAGCCACTTTTTAGGTCCAGCGTGCTAAACCACTTTACTCCTGTAAGCATGTCCAGCGTGTCGTCAATTCTTGGCAAGGGATAGCTATCCTTCTTAGTAACGTCGTTCAGACGGCGGTAGTCAACACAAAACCGCAAGCTGCCGTCCTTCTTCTTTACCAGTACCACGGGTGAACACCATGGACTAGATGAAGGTTCAATAACACCATCCTTCCCCATTCCCTTAATCATGGTTTCCACTTCCTTTTCACTTGCTACCGGCAATCGTCTTGGCCGCTGACGGATAGGCAACTCTTCACCTGTGTTTATTTTGTGTTAAACTAAACCAGTCTTTCCTATGTCAGCATCGTTTGATGAGAATACATCGGCGTACTCGAGTAACAACTTCTTCGCCTTGACCAATTCGTTCGGGGACAGAACACTGCGACAGTCTTCCAAAAGTGTGGTCACTCTCGTTTCTGAATCCTTGCTGGGGGTCCCACTTGATATATATTGGCACTGACGTAACCAATCCACTTCCTCACAAGTACCAACCAGTGTGCCTTTTTCTATAATCTGTTCCCGGTCGCAAAGATTCAGCACACGTACTCCTGAGATGTCAGTGGTCCTGACCAAGGTTCGAGCTACTTTCCATGGAAGGTCATTGTTTACCCTTTCCACAAGTACACAACGGTGAGCTTGCCCAGCGTTTCGTGGAAGACTAACCGGAACAATCGTTTCCGATCTCGGCGGAAGAACAATCTTCTTGATGCTGTACACGTTCCCTGGTAACGCACCTTCCATAAAAAGTTCCTCCTGTCCACATTTCCAAACACCTTGCTTAACGTCGATCTCACAACAATTATTCCTCATAAAGTCTAGGCCTAGGATGCAGTCGTCCATTATATCAGCCACGATGACATTATGCAGGTAGATCACGTTGCCTAGCTTCAACTCCATCTCCTTCTCTCCACGGACGGGTATACGCTGACCGGTGGCTGTTACCAAATTAATGCGTTCTCGGTTGTATGCGGAGTCCCCAAGGAACTGACTTATAAGTTGGGAACTAACAACCGTACGAGAGGCTCCAGTGTCTATGGTCAGCTTACACGGCATTCCGTTGATCTCGCCCTTTATGATTAGGCTGTTCCCATCATGGGTTTGTGAGATCGAGATCCTTGGGGCTCTTTTAACATCAGCCAGCACCCGCCCCGCAGTTCTGGCTTTTACTCGTTTCCCTGCCGCTGCTGGGCGGTGCTGTTGGTCGCACTACCCTCCTGAGATCGTTCAATTTCCCTTTCTAGGGTTCGCTTAGGGTAGCTAGATCGAAGATGGCCCTTTTCCCCACAGCCATAGCACCTTGGGCTGTATCCTTTGTTGCGGTCGCGAACTGTAGCTGCTGCAACCTCCCTGACGCGATGGGAACGATGATCCTGCCGCACGGCTTCCACTTCCAGTGCATGGGCCAAGGCGTCCTTAAGCGTCTCGTGGTGCCCGAGCCTCACAGCAGCTCTGACTTCCAGGTCGCGGATGCCGTCGATGAATGTCTGCACCAGGTTCCCTTCAATGAGCGCAGGTACAGACCGGTATGCTTTTCGCACCAGCTTCTCCTCTTCTAGAGCCCACTGCTGCAGGTTTTCGTTGATGCGCTGCACACGTTCTTTAAGCTGCGCACGAAAGACGTGTTCCAGGTGAGCGTCGCCATATCTCGCCTCCAATGCCTCAAGGAGTTGCTCATAAGTGACTTCCTCACCGAGAGCTTCCAGAACTGTTAAGGCCTGGTCGCGCAGGCCTAGTGTGAGAGCAGTCATGGCCTGACTTTTATTCCAGCCGTTCGCCTTCATAACAGCCTCGAACTGGATTTTGTAGGCTGACCAGGAAGAAGTCCCGTCGAATGGTGGCACCTTGAACCCACGTAGCGAAGGTGTAGTAGCTACTACGGGAGCTGTAGTTCCCTCCCCAAGTTTGAGTTCGTCAAGTGATTTCCTCATGTCAGCCATTACGTTGTCAACCCGATTGTTCACTTGGTCAATTCGGGTTTCAGCTTCCGACAGGCGGTTTTCATGATGAGCAACCTTATCCTTCACCTCCCTTATCTCTTTCCCGAAGGTAGCGTGAAGGTCCTTCATGAGAAGCATCTGTTCCTCCTGTCGGCGGGCCTGTTCTGCCTGTCCGCCCCGCAGCTGCTCTTCCAACCGACGGACCTGTTCCTCCTGTCGGCGAGCCTGTTCCGCCTGCTGATCTGCTAACCGACGGGCCTGTTCATCCTGTCCGCTCTGCAGCTGCTCTTTCAACTGACGGGCCTGTTCCTGCAGCATCACCATCAGAGCGCCTAAATCAGGTGCTGCGGATGCAGGAGCTACTGACGGACCGGCCTCCGTTGCCGGCGGCTGGCCCTCCGACGTCTGCGGCGTTGCACCACCAAATCTTCGTTGGTCCGTCTCCTGCTGGCGTTGACTTCGGGTACGGACACCCTCCGTTTCCTCCTTAGGTAAAATCGGCATTATTTTATCCCACTTCTGACACCAATTGTTACGAGCTTGAGGTTCGTGACAATAAAAGTTGCCGATAAAATTACCTAAATTAACACTTTAATTTACTTTACACAAATTAAAACTTAAAACACTAGTAATTAAACACACTAATTCACTTAATTCCGCTCCGAAGCTTCGCTTGTGTCGCCGAGTTCAACTCTGCCCCGATCGCATCTTGCAGCGCCTATTTATATAATTAGCAAAGAAGCGTCCCGAACATTCAAGTAAATGCGCGCCAGGCAACGAGTATTCGAGTGTAGATTTTCCAGAAACTTAGTTCTTCGGGTGGCGCTGTCGGTCGAAAGATTTGTGATGTCATTTACTGCAAAGCTCCCCTCGCTCTCACTAGATGGCGCTAGTTGACTTATTCATGCAACAATAGCTTACAATAATGTTTACAATAAACAACACAAGACAAATTAGAAATAGCTTGGTAGCGATCACCCTTCCCAGGGGTTATTATCATCCATAAATTCCTTATTATTATAATAACCCTTTTTATACAAACTTAGTTTAATAACATTTTTGAACTTTGTGTATGACAAATTTTGTATATTTTCTGGGATTTTGTTGTAAAAGCGTATACATCGCCCCAAGAATGAATTACTGACTCGGTGGAGTCGAGTAACTGGTACTACTAGCTTGTGTCTGTTCCTAGTATTTACAGAATGAATATCACTTATTTTCGCAAAACTATTTTTATTTTTGTGTACGTACATTTTCATAAATGTATTGAGAGGCCAGAGTTAATATATTGATTTCCTTAAATTTTTGTCTCAGTGACTCTTTTGGTTTTAAATTATATATTGCTCTAATGGCCCTCTTCTGCAAAATAAATATAATTTCAGTGTCAGTCGCGTGTCCCCTTAGCTGCTATGGGGAGGATGGGATGGTATTTTGCTATGGCATAGCAAAATACCATACGACATAATGCTATGGAAATAACTAAAGTAAACAAATCTATCTGTTGTCTACTGGTCTATCAAATCTGATGTAATGGTTGGGGCCGTCTAGGATATGATCACAAACTGCAGACTTCCCGGAACGTTGATGCTTCACATCAGCTATATGTTTTCTTGCTCTCAGTATGAATATTCTGCTGCCCAATGTCTGTGATCTGTTTCAGCTTCCTTCCGTCCCGTCTTACGACACCCACGGAACTACATGAGGTGGGGGATATTCTAATACCGCCAATATGTGTTATGTTTTTTTAGTCTTGTCAAATTCAAAAGACATCTCCTTCCAGGTCTTCTTTGATCTGATGGTGGAAACCGAAGATTCGCCATATAAAGACTACGACGACGATAAAGAAATGGAGATAGGTAAGCTTTCCTATCCATATGAAGTGTTAGGTTTAAGTATTGTAGAATGTTGTTTATAAGGTAGAAACCATGCTACAGCTATGTTGTGGTTGTAGCACAAATGGGTCAGCTCGACTGGGGAAGGACCACGCTGTCACAGAATATCAGTGTAAAATAGTAGCTTAATGCTGCCGTGCTTAGTGTGTTGAGTGTAGAGAATGGATACCCTTTTTACTGGTAATAAGGAATTCCATCTTAGTCCTCAGGGGTGTGACAACGCATCTGAATTTTGATTCGTAATCGAGGATGGATGTAGATGTCTATAGACCACAGCATCCACTTAGTATCAGGTGAACTGTGTGCTCGTTTGTCACTCGTATTCTATAAACATGTATCTGGGTATCTTACATTTGCCTAAACGAAATAGTTTCACGGCTATCAAAAGCCATGAGATCTTACTGTCATACCCCATGCCCCAACTTAGGAGTGATAGATTGTCTTATGCTGCCAATATTCTGCCCTTGCCCTTATTTTTTTAAATCAAAGCTTTATAATTACAGCCCTTCACAAGTCCACTGCTAAACATAGGACTCCCCCCAAGGAATGCCACAAAGCACGATCCTGAGCCACCTGCGTCCATCGTCCACCAGCTTATACCCAGTTATGGGTACGTGGTAGAGCCACGCTGCAGCTATATTATGGTTGTAGCACGAATAGGTTGACTCGACCGGAGAAGGACCACACTCACAGAATACCAGCGTAAAATAGTAGCTTAATACTGCTATGTTTTGTATGGTGAGTGTAGAGATCCGGAGACCCTTTTTTACTAGAAACGAGGCATTCCATTGTAGTACTCAGAGATGACAACACATCTGCGTTTTGATTTTTAATCGAGGATAAATATAGATGTCAATGGGCCACAGCATCCACTTACCATGAGGTGGACTGTGTGCCCGTTTGTCACCCTTATTCTATATAAAAAAAGTCATCCAGTTAATAATGAATAGTTGATGATATCTCAGATTAACTATAACATCAAGATGTCAAACATCTCAACCTCCCGTGACCGTGAGGCACAGTAGGTACCACTCGAAACCTAAGGACCTTAACAATTTAATTTAGCAGGAAACTCAGCGGAAACCTACATGATGAAAGTTAAAGACATATCAGAATCCGTGGCCAGGGTTAAAGACCACGTGTCAGCAGCTAGAAGACTGCAAGAGTTGCTGTCAGCACATGAGGCTAGGGATAGAAACCTGGCTGAGGAGATGTGCTCCAGGTGAGGAACTAAAACGTTTATTGCATTTTTAGTCGAAATCTCACGAGGAGGTTTGTTATCAAATGTTTTTTTTTCTGTATTATGAAGTGAAACTTTTTTTTATTTTAACATTATTAATATTCCACTTGTAACCACTCCTGGTAAGCTTAAAATGCTTGTGTTGAGAAGGGTCACGACAGGAGTCGAATGGTGGATTCGAACTCAAGACCTTTTGAGTTTGCGGCCCACAACTTGCTGAAGTGACTGTAGCGTACAGTCACTTAAAACTTTTTTAGAATCCTTGTGATTTGTAACTCGAAACGATAAAGCGACACTAAAATGGAACAAACAAAACCTATGCGGAAGAGCGAAATAGAATATTATATTATCTATCATCATCATCATTACAGCCCTTCACAAGTCCACTGCTGAACATAGGCCTCCCCTAAGGAATGTAAAAAGCACGGTCCTGAGCCACCTGCATCCATCGACTTCTTGCATGTCTTACCAGGCCGTCACTCCATCTAGTGGGGGGTCGCCCTACACTTCGCCTACCGGTACGAGGCTGCCACTCGAGAACCCTTCTTTCCCAACGGTTGTCGGTTCTTCGAGCTATATGGCTGGCCCATTGCCACTTCAGCTTACTAATCCGTTGGGCTATGTCGTTCACTCAGGTTCTACTGCGGATATCCTCATTTCTAAGTTTATCACGCAGAGAAACTCCAAGCATAGCCCTCTCCATAGCTCGCTGAGCGACTTTGAGCGTCCTTATACGGCCAGCAGTGAAGGATCACGTCTCGGTTCCGTAGGTCATCACTGGCAACACGCACTGGTTATACAACTTAGTCTTCAGGTTTTGAGGTATACCTGATGAGAAGATGCGTCGTAATTTCCCGAACGCTGCCCTGCCGAGTTGAATCCGTTGATTGACCTCTCGGTCGAAATTGGACTTAGCTAGTCGGCCTATTTGTCCCAGGTAAACGTACTCGTCAACAACTTCGAGCTTAGTGCTCCCAACAACTACCGGCATAGGTGTGATATGGACATTAAACATGATCTTTGTTTTGTCCATGTTCATTTTAAGATCTATCCGTTGGGAGGCACTATTGAGGTCATTGAGCATAGTGCTTAAGTCCTCCAGCGATTCTGCCATAAGGACTATATCGTCGGCAAATCGAAGGTGAGTGATGTACTCGCCATTGATGTTAATACCGTATCCTTTTCAGTCCAGTAGCTTGAAAACGTCTTCCAATGCAGCGGTGAAGAGTTTCGGGGAAATAACGTCACCCTGTCTTACACCTCTCTGCAGTTGGATAGTTTTCGTACTCTGGTTCTGTATTCGGATAGCCATCGTAGCCCTACTGTACAAACACTACAGCACTTCGATATACCGACAGTCAACTTGGCACCGCTGAAGAGACTGTAGCACCGCCCAAATTTCGACGGAATCAAAGGCTTTCTCATAGTCCACATACGCCAGGCAAAGTGGCAGATTGTACTCTTCGGACTTCTGTACAATTTGCCGAAGGGTATGTATGTGGTCTATGGTACTAAGGCCTTTTCGGAAACCGGCTTGTTCGAGAGGCTGGAAGTCGTCGAGTCTGCGTGCGAGAAAATTCGTAATGACTCTCGAAAACAGCACGTAGACGCGGCTCAGAAGGGATATCGGTCTGTAGTTCTTCAAGAGGGCGTTGTCACCTTTCTTGAAGAACAAGACCATCGCACTTCTGCTCCACGCCTCCGGAGTAGTGCCACCATGGAGGACGGAATTGAAGAGCTTCTGAAGGACTTCAAGTACCGGTTTTCCACCCGCTTTCAGAAGCTCCGCTTTAATTCCATCCTCGCCCGGGGACTTGCCATTTTTAAGGTGCTGGAGAGCCATTCTAATCTCGCTCAGACTGACGTCCGGGATATCATCGGAATAGTGTCGGGTAAGACTTGCTCTTGGATCGATACTCACACTTGCGTGTGGCTCCAACGGTGATGTGTACAGCTGCCCATAGAACCTCTCAATCTAACTCAGAATCTCAGTTGTCCCGGAAACGATGCTGCCACACTCAGTCTTCAGCTTTGACAGTTGGCTCTTACTGGCAGACAGATCTCTGGCAAAGACTTTGGAGCCCTGGTTCCGCTCGATCGCTTCGTCAATACGAGCAGTATTAAAGTTGCGCAAGTCTCGCCGCATGCATTTGGAGATCTGTCTGTTTAGTTGCCTGTATGCTGTCAAATCTGTTGACGATTGCAGCCTCATCTCCCGTCTAACAGCCATGAGATTAAGAGTGTGATCGGAGAGTTTTTGTGTTCTTCTGCGGCGGATCTTGCAAAACTTAGCTCCGACCGCGTGGACAGTTTCCATGAGCTTGTCATTCATATCGTCCACTGCATTGCAATACTCTAGGCACTGAAAGCGGTTTTGTAACTCGAGCTGAAAGGTTTCGGGATTCTGGATTAGAGCACGAGGGGGGACGGAGCGTTGACTTCATTAGACGAGACCTCTCCAACTTAACGTTTAGGTTCAGTGTGCCTCTAACCATTCGATGATCGCTGCCAGTTTTCACCATTGCGATCACTGAGACATCACTGAACAGTTGGCGTCTGGTCGTCATAACGAAGTCAATCTCATGTTTAGTCGAACCATCGGGGCTCGACTAGGTTCACTTCCTGTGGGGCCGCTTCTGAAAGAAAGAGTTCATCATAAAGAGTCCCTTTTTCTCCATGAAGTCGGCCAGCTGCTGGCCCCTACGGTTCCGTTGCCCTACTCCAAATTTCCGAGCTTCAGCTCACCGCTTTTTCTTGTACCTAATTTTGCGTTGAAGTCTCCCATCAACACCGTGTAGTGGGTTTTAGAGGAATGCATGGCTCTGGAAATATCCTCATACATTTCCTCCACCTCCTCATCGGGATGTGCCGAGGTTGGTGCGTAAACCTGTATGACCTTCAGCGAATACCGTTTGGTGATTCTGAGTATCAGCTACGCGACCCTCGTCGACACACTCTCAATCTTTACAATGTTGTTGACGAGAGACTTGTGGATGATAAATCCGACACCTCCTTGGGACAGATGGTCGCCATCCCGGTGATAGAACAAGTTGCCGGACTCGAGGATTACTGTGTCCTCCCCCTCTCTTCGGACTTCGGATAATTTAATAATATTCCAGCGCAACTTGTCTATCACTTCTTCCAGCTCCAGAATCTTCACATCAGTCCTCAGGGTGCGTTCATTAAATGTTGCCAGGTCGAGTCGTCGTAGGTGGCAACCGAACCTCCACCGGAAATTCTTAGCACCCCCCTGCCCCGCCGTTACCATGGTCGCCACCGTAGCCAGGAATAGCGAGGCCGCCGGGGACTGGGGGCCGTCTATTTGTGTAATTGTTCATGGGGGGTATATTGCCATAGTTGCCACGCTTGGCGAGCGGGTTGGCAACCGCAGTTTTTTATTATAACACAGTTGTTATCAGGAAGATGCTGCTGCCCATCTCCTGCCTGTCTCCCTCTGTCGCCTCTTACGACACCCACGGGAAGATATGGGGTAGTGGATATTCTCAACCGCCACTACACGGCATATATTATCTATATTGTCTACACATGATATGAATCTGTAGAAAAGTCGTGTCTGTAATTCTAATATTTTCTTGAAAAAACAAGTCCAGGGGACTAAATAAAGAGAACTGAAGCCAAATTCGTGGTTTTTAGAATTTATGCCTGCTAAGTAGGTAAGGTAAAAACTACTGGACAGATTTCCATGAAATGATGTGTGTGATCCGATTACAGAACTTCAAAAAAGGAGGGTTAAGTATTTTCCTTCCTTTTTATAGAAGAACATCTAAATGTTAATTTCTATTTAACACAATTGATGTATTTCATTAAAATAAATAAATAATTTATAAATAAAGTCAAAAATTAGTTTTAACCGTTGCGTAATATATTGAAATACGCCGACAATCTACATTTCACATTTTCAAGACAGTGCCATCTAACGTAAAATACAAAATGTAGTGACATTTTGTCTTCAGTTACTAAAAAAAATAGGTGTATGAATAACTTACATTTATATAGTAAGAGCCGTGGTAGCTCAGTGGTTAACGCTCGCTGTAAATATAACAGAACGCGAGTAACCCGGGTTCGATCCCCGTCGATACTAATGAAATTGTTAATTGCAATTTTAAGTGCTGATTTACCACGTGCTCGGCCGTGAAGGAAAACATCGTGAGGAAACCTGCATGTCTGAGGAATAAGAAAAAAAAAATTCGAAGACATGTGAAGTCAACATTTGGACAGCGCGGCGGACACTTCCTTGCCCTAAACCCTCTCAGAAATGAGAGGAGGCCTGTGCCCAGCAGTGGGACGTATATAGGCTGTAACTTTACTTTACTTTACATTTATATAGTTATTTAATTAAATTCATAATTGATGTCAAAATTCTAACGTTAACTTTTTTAGTTTTTTTTTTCGTAGATATAAAAAAATATAGTAACTAATTACTATTTAAATATAAGTGATAGTGCTTACATCCCGAGACGTTGATGCGTCAGCCCAGGCCTGGTAGCACTCCTGCTTGTAGCGTGATGCTATTTTTCAGGAGCGACCAAACCATGGCTGGGATCTACCTCCGTTGCCACCTCAGAGGATGGAATAAAAAGTTCCATATTCTGAAGTACCACATCGGCGATAGAATCGCCAACAACACTGGGATCGTCCGGCGAGAAGCAAACCCCCCAAGGGTAGGATGCAAAGAAAGACCGCATCCCATCTCAATCGACTGACCTATAGTGCCAAACACGGCGGCAGCCTGCAGATTGCAACTGCGATTTCAGCGTGAGTGGCACCACACTCCGGACAAGAAAATGGTCCGAGGAGCCTAAAGGGGCGTCGACGGACACCTGATATCCGTCAAATGAGAGGTCAGCAGAAGGTACAGGGAAGCTTTATGATCTTCCACATCTGGAATCTGCGTAAGGGAAGTAACCGGTCGTGTCAGACTATATGCCAAGGCAAAGTCATAAACAGATCTCCCCACATGATTGGTTAAACGTGAACCGAGCCATGCGGCGTGCTGGGCGGGTGATCACGATCTCTGCGGATGAGATCTGCTGTAGCAAGGAATCTGTAGCCATTTGGATATGAGTCGGTTTGGATGTGAGTCGGTCTGTTTCCGCATTACCGCTATTGCACCTATAGAGGCACCCGTAGACGCGAGGATGGTCGTCGCTGTCTATGCGCAGTCGTATAATGGACAACTCCGTACCTTCAAGGCTGCCGAGGCGTCGGAAACAGATGTCGTCTCTGACGTATACGCAAACTCCAGCCCGGGGCACAAAGGAGTGTTCCAATTTGTACCCTGGATAGGAGAGATATGAAGTATCAGCCGGAGACAAGGCACACACAAGGCAGGCTTCGCCGTCTCCAGATGTTCAGCGATAACATGGACAGTGTTAAAGTTGAAATGAAGTCCCCTGATGTTCCAAAAATTCACGGATAGAGTGACAGGGGTCGCCTTGGTCTTATTGCTCCGCATGCCCCGAGCAGGTTTAGTCGCGAAACCCCCTCTGAATCCCAACAAACTGAAGTCATAATCTTTACAGCCGATAGTGACACCTTTAACTTGGCTTCAGATGAACTGTAAGTTCGTTTATACAAAAGGAACACTTGCATCACCAGTATTAAAATTCATCAAATAACGGAAGAGAATTAGAAGAAGACTACTGAGACCTGAATTCGACTAATTGTGTGAAATCAACGCATAATATTTGTTTGCATAACTTTTTTTAATATTCTACCGTGCATCGAAGGCAAAGGTATTTTTTGCGCATACAGCCAAATACCTTCTTCACTTTAGTTAGAGCATTTCATATGAAAAATTCGTGTGTGTACAATATTCCCATTGTTTTACAAGCATTAATGGCAACATACACGTTTGTTTTTTGTGCTCATCTATGACTTCATTAATGGCATATTTTTGTGTGCTGATCTTTCGGTGATAGTTAAGTTTTATTCCTCTCATTTATAATAAATATTAGAAAGTTACTTTAATTTGCAATTTATAATAATTTGTTCCAGGGTAATGAAGTGGTCGCTGTGGCAGATTGCTGTGATGCTTATAGTTGGTATAACTCAGGTCAGTATTCATTATTTACCTTCCTAAATACGAGTATATGATAGATATTAGCTTGGCAATACCTGAGCAAACAAGGTGAATTTGTGATACCAATGTCCTCGCACCGGTAGTTCTGCATCCCGTCACTGATTTGAATTTGGTGATATCCTGCCTACAACTGGAGAGGTCTATATCCAGTTGTGCGCTTTCATAAAGAAAAAGATATAGTCCTGAAGAAGAAGTTTTTGAACAAAAATCAAAAAGTTTTTGTGCGATCATGGACTTGGAAAAGGCTTATGACAGAGTGAACAGGGATCTGTTGTGGCAAACGCTGAACTCATTTGGGTTGAACACAGGGTTGATGCAGGTATTAAAGTCTCGTTGTAGGGACTCTATTACTTGTGTTAGGATCAACGGGGTCTACTCGGACTGGTTTGGCTGCGCCGTGGTTGTTCAACCTAGTTATGGACAGTTGTTTGGAAAATTTAAAAGTTGAATAGGCCGTACGCCGATGATCATGTCATATTTGCGTCGTCGGCGGCTGAGTTGCAAATGATGGTTACATTTATGAACAGGTCATTAAAAGAAAAGGGGAATTAAAGTGAACGCTAGTAAGAAGAAAGTTACGGTTTTTGAAAGAGAAGAAAGTAAAACGATATGTGAAATAAGAATAGAAGGGGAGTTGATCGAGCAAGTAGATGAGTTTGTATATTTGGAATGTGTATTTGGCAGAGATGGGAGATATGACAAGGATATAGAACGACGAGTGAACGCAGGAAATAGAGTAAATGGGGCTCTACACTTTATTGTTGAAAGTCAGAATGTGTCAAAAAAGGCACGTAATGGCAATTCAAAATGCTATATTCATCTCTTCTTTAACGTATGGTAGTGAAAGTTGGGGGTGGTAGAAGAAGCACGAGAGTAGAATAAATGCAGTAGAAATGCGGTCGTTAAGGAGTTATATGTAAGGAGGTATATGTTAGGGCTGAATCTGAATGACAGGGTGAGAAATTGGGTGTTAAGAGAAGAGTGTGGTTTGCAAGATGATGTTGTGAGCAGGATTAAGAAAGGAATACTTCGGTGGTTTGGTCATGTGAAAAGAATAAATGAGGAAAGACTGACACAGGAAATTTATGTTGCAGAAGTGAAGGGACGTCCTAGGCGAAAGTTTATCGACCAAATTGGCGATATATTTAAAATGGGCCAAATTAAGAGCTTAACCGACGAGCATGTATGCGTAGGTGCATGGATGTGGAGGAGACGAGAAAGATGTGTCATGATCGTGCCAAATAGAAGTCTGTAGTCTCTGCCTACCCCTCTGGGTGACAGGCGTGAGTGTTTATGTATTAGTTATGTATGTATATTATGTGTGTATGTATATCTATATAACTATGTATGTATGTATATTTATATATAATTCAAACTTTTATCATGCGCTTTTTTATATTTGCTGCACCGTCTCTTATATGTCTATAGAGAGAGAATGGCCTATGGTATTAAGTCCGCCATATGTACTACTTTGTGCATTAAAGTATAAATAAATAAAAATATATTCCAGGTGGTGTTCGTCAAGAGTCTGTTCCAGGAGCCAAGCAGCAGAAGTCTGAAGAAGTTAGTTCCTAATTTTTTGTCTCAATGACACCAAAGAATTAATTACTTTAAGTAAGTAAGTAGGTTATGTTTACCACTTCTGTTGAACAAGCTGCAAAATGCTGTAAAACAAAATTATAAATTATTGTGGGTAGGTGGTTATTTTGTATTATCTTTATAATATATATATATATATATATATATATATAATAACACGTAACATAATTAACGCACTTTGAGAAAGTAGTTTGTTCAGAATCGTTTACTGAATCCATTCCTATCATTTTTAATATAGGTAATTTTTTATCCAAAAAATAATTAAAACTACGTAAATTACGGTCACACTAAATCTGTACAGGTAAAACAAACTGAAATGGACCGTAACTTAAGGCAATAAGAGTTTTAAGAGTGCAGTTTTATTTGTATTATTACTAATTGTGTCATTCAATAAAAATAAAGAAAAATGAACTTTATTTCAAGCACTTAAAGTCTGCGTTCGTGGATTTGTACTGTGACCACAACATTCTTCCGGAATTAGTATAACTAATTTGTTTTAATAAATAATCAGTGCATAAAAATGTTTAACTAAAAATCAGTGTATGTATTATGATTATAACATAATATACTAATTGGGGTGTCTGAGTGTGTGCTTTAATTACGTTACATATTGTATATATGTGTATATATATATATATATATATATATATATATATATATATATATATATATATATATATATATATATATGTACATATACACGGTTGGACCGATTTTGGTTGGTTCCCTGGATAGTATAGATACACAGTTAGACCCGGTAAGTGCCGCTGTTGTTGAAATCCAGAAATCACCCGGGCGAAACGCTATTTATTTGTAATTCTGATTTATTTTTTATATAACAATGTGTGAATAATTTAATCTGAATAAGATACCCTGCACTGCAATGTTGTAGAATATAAAGGCTGATAAAATAGTTATTACCTTTTCGTGTTTAAAAAAAACTATTTGGTCCAGCGTCAATTTAACAATCGTATATCAAAACGAGGTTCTTCGGACCGGAGAAAAGTTGGCAAATGAACACTTACAGGTTTTCAACTAACACAAAATTAAAAAGTATTAAAATTATCTAAAATTTTTGTTGTTAGACAATAAATACTAGATTTATAGTTCTAGATAAATTAACTAATAAAAAAGCATATGTATAAATTTTAGACGCACACAATGCACATCTACTGTTAATTATATTTCTAAGAAGCTTACCAAAGAATATGTCGTGCCATCTGCCATGTCGGTACCTCAGACTAACAAAGAAAAGCAGACGGACAGAGTACTGAGTCTATTTATTTCAACAGACTCTGAAACTAGGCCGCAACCATGCTCGTCTTATTGTAAGAACACGCACACATGTATAATACATAAAACTTTTCTTTTATGTGTGTGTATAAAATAATTGCAAAGTGCCTTTTATTACATGCCACACATTACAGTATTTTTATATTGAAAAGTATGCAGTAATTCAAATTAATTAAATAATTAACTTTGTTTTGGAACTTTGTTAACTTGTTAAGTAAATTTAAAATGCATACTAAAATAATTTGTAACCAACCATTGACCTACTACTATAAATGGACGGCGGGTCTGGATCAAAATCCACAAATTCCCGAGTTAACCTATATAAGCATACGTACATGTATAGAAATATAAAAAAAAAACCATAACATTCTAATTCAAACCATATTGTCATTCAAAAACTGCTCAGTTTTACTTGCGAGAATTTATCTGCTTATTTAACTTCAGCTAGAATGACATAATATTGTTAAAATTGAGATGTGACACTAATGTATCTTCCATCTCGTTTGTGGTGAGAAACAAATAAATTATTATATTATTAGAGGTCGCACTATTTTTACCACAGAACACCTAATATCGCGCAATAGAAATGTTACACGAGCCGTACGAGATAGTATATGACTTAAAACTTCAGCTCAGTTCGAAACAAATCTTCGTCACGTGTTATTCGTGGTGCACGTGGTTAAAAATGGTATAATGCAGTGTTTCGAACTGTTCCAACCGTTCAGGAAAGGGTGATTATTCTACTAAAGGAATTTCTTATCATTAATGAGTCAAATAATACATTTTTAAATCGATTTTAACAATAAAACCGAAGTCAAAGAAGCAATTCACTCAAGTTCTTGGAAAACTACAATGATTTTTTTAATGTAGTTCTTACGGAACATTTTATCTTCATTGCTTATTGAGCTTCAATAAAAAGCAATCATTATTATTAAGACAACGCAATGGACATTTTATTGAACGATACTTCACCCTGCGTCAACGCATAGTACGGCAATTGCCTGCAAGGAGTGGGGAGGGAAGCGGCGACGGTGCTATTGCAAATAAATTGAAACAATTGCATTTTTATTCCGCTATATTAGGTGTTCTGTGATTTTCACCTTATGAAGTTTCTGGCGAAAATCATGTTAAATTGGTTTTACAATTAACATTTAAATGCAAAATATTACCGTACCGTAAAAGAGCCGTGGTAGAGAGCTCAGTGGTTAACGCTCGCTGTAAATATAACAGAACGCGACATAAAACATTCAATTTTTAAAATTAATATATTTAAAGGTAATCAATGTAAAATTAATATTAAATATTCACGAGAAACACCAGTATAAAATCTATAAATTCTTAAATTATATTTTCCATGTTGAGTATATGAATATAAATATAATCTATATCCGGCTCTAAAAAAAAGATATTAAAATTAATATAATTATTGATAATCAAGATCAACTTACTAATCGATCCCCGCCGGCACCAATGAAATTGTTAATTGCAATATTAAGTGCTGATTTACCACATATACGGCGATGAAGGAAAACATCGTGAGGAAACTTGCATGTCTGAGGAATAAGAAAAAAAAATATTTCGAAGACATGTGAAGTTCGTCAACACGCACTTGGGCAGCGCGGCGGACACTTCCTTGCCCTAAACCTTCTCAGAAATGAAGGGAAGCCTGTGCCCAGCAGTGGGACGTATATACGCTGTAACTTTACTTTACTTTTTTATTACCGTACCGTAGCGCAGTAGCTTAGCAATGAGTTAGAGCGCTGAGGGCCGCGGGTTCGAATCCCGCACGGAACAAGTATTTGTATGGCCTACAAGTAATTGTTCCGGGTCTGGATGTTTATCCTTGTGCAATTTATTTTTTTAAACTTCCTCCGCGATACAGGAGAAAATCCTAGTCAGGAGCTAACGTTTTTTTTTAAAAAAGAGAAATAAGAAATGAGTTTTTGCGTAATACAGTACGGGTTTTGGACGTATTTTAAGTCAGTCGACAAAACTAAGACTGGCGAGGCGAGTGATTGGAACTCTTTGCATTTTGGAACTCTTTCGGCTTGGACACTTAGCGCGGAACAGAGTTCCATTCAGTAGTAGGTCAATGCAACCAGCATCATAGTTTAGGTGCATGTGTGTGCAACCACCAGTGGATATATTCGGGATAATAAGGAGAGAAAGAAGAAAGATGTGTAACAAGTTGAGTATGGTATCTGCGTCACTTCTAGTGTAGGCAACGCTCAGTCTGTCTGCTTTATTGTTTGTTGATCTGAGATTAGAACACATTACAGCAAGTTCAAGTAGGTTCACGGTCTTATTTCATAAATTTAATACAAGTAGTCAATAACCATTATAATGATTGATAGAATCAGGCGTTACTTTGCGGAAATCCATTATAATAAAAATATTAATTACTTTGCAACCTTCCGCTAACTAAATACAATGATGTGACTTACCTGGATTGAAGAGCACCTCCCGCCTCCCTCAATTGCATGCACTAACTCCGTCACCACTAGTCCCAGCACCACTACTCTTAACACCACTATTCCAGGTAAGACACACCATCGACTATAACACGACACGTGTTTCGCCTCTACACGAGGCATCTTCAGGTGATGTAGACTTACATCTCTACTTTGTTACAGTACAATTGCTCTTCAATCCAGGTAAGACACATCATTGTATTTAGTTAGCGGAAGGTTGCAAAGTAATTAATATTTTTATCATTATAATGATTTCTTATACATATTTACGCGAACACTACACATTGGTTAAAACTACTTTTATGGATTTTATCGCGTTTAATTTAAAATTATTTTTAATTTCCGATGTTTTGGGTGCTTGACTGACCCGATGCCAATTTTAACTCGGAGTACCTGCACCTTTTTAATTATTATTTATGGTCCGATCTACACAGAAAAGCACCCGAAACGTCGGGAATTAAAAATAATTTAAAATTAAACGAGATAAAATCCGTAAAAGTAGTTTTAATCAATTTATTTATATAATTTTTGTAATTTTAGTTATATAATTTGTTTTTATATTGTTGTAATATGTTCACAAAATCCTTTGTTTGGTAATTAAGTTGTTTAATAAATATCGCATGTTTAATACATAATTGTCTATTTGGTTTTTGGTGGTTTGGTTTAATATCTGGTATTGCATGCCTTAAGCGCTGAACGCGTAGATATGTTCTACTAGCGCCTAAAAATCAAGAATCCAACGTTTTGTCGCATGGAATCGTTACTAACATCATATTATTTGTATTAAATTTATGAAATACGCTAACAAAATCATTTTGTTCAGCAATTCAACAAATTGCACAAATAATGTATAACTTTTTTAGTGTCCTTAACTTTAGAAATATGTTATAGTTCCAGTTATTTTAATTTGAATGTAAATTAGGTAGGTATTTTGTAAAAATGGGGGCTAAATCTTACGTTTACTAGATGTCGCCAGTTGAAACTGAGGTGAAAGCATTTGTAAAAAGTTGTTTTTTAAATAAAAGTCTTTCGGTCTCAAATGTATGTTCCTATAAATGTTCACATAACAATGTCTCAATGTTGTTTTTTTTTAATTTTTGCACATTTTTAATCTAATTAATATAATATAATAATACACTTCTAATAAATTAACTTTCTCACCACGAAGATGTCAATTATTTCACCTCATTCCAAAATGGCGACACCTTAGTGTCAGAAAGATTTGTGGAGGTCCTCATCGAGAAGAAATAATTTGTAATGTATAAAAATTTCCATCGTATTTAAAAAATTCATTTGTTAATTGTATTTGAATTTATTACTGTGTCCCGAAAAGTGATAACCCAACTAACATTTTGGTGTCAGTTACAGGTTTTAATATAACTTTAATCTGTTTAACTGAGTAATAATTATCTCAGTTCTAACTAAAAGACATATATAAGAGTTAAAAGATAAATTTAGCTCCAACAGTGGTTCTAGAACTTTAATGAACGATGTTAGGTTGCTTTAAGAGTTAGAATAGTGCTAATCACAGCAAGTATAGTTAAGAAGTTGTAGCTTTGACCTGTTTGTAGCTCCTAAATCTATACAACAGTGCTCGCTGACTCTCGTTAACACTTATTGTTGTTTAGTTGTTGCCGTGAAGTGTCTTATTTGCCTTTAGGTATTATATTGACTATAGGTGCAGACATGGGTTGTAAAATAGAGTTTGTCAAGAGTGTACTAACACAAGATACTAAAAGTGTTGAACAACTCATTTATGTAGTTTTAAGCTATAATTTTAATTTTACTAATGCTTATTGTGTTTGGCATATACACTTTAAATACATTGTAAAAGTAATGGTGTTATACAAGACAAGTATGGATATTAATACTCAAAAGCAGTCTTTCTAAAGTTGCGATTTGTTATAATTTTTGTTATAAACAACCTTATTACGAACTGAAGAAATTTTTCTACCAAGTATTATTATTAAGTTACATTAAAATGAAACGATTACAAAGATGGAGTAAACAAAAGAAAACAGGCGCAGTGAAAAAAAGAATTATGCAGGAATGCCGTATTTTTTTGGATTCACTTAATAATGGTACGAATGACACAAACAAATCACTTAGTTATGATGATATCCGATTAGATTCTGGTATTCCAGTTATTACGGAAAATAAAGAAGATTCGTTACAAAGAGAATATATAAATAGCCATAATACGAGTAATTTTGGTCAAGTTCGAGTGGAGGCACAGCAGGGTTCCGTAGAACAAGAACAAGAAAAAGCACAAGTAAATAACAATTTTTTCGATTCCATACCACTTAGTGCGTCAGAAGATGAAGAAGAAGAGGAAGAAAAATTTAGTGATATTGAAAAAATTACTGCACTAACTAAACAATTAAAAACGTGGTCCGTAGGAAACAATATTACCCAAACTGCTTTAAAACAGCTTCTGTTGATTTTGAATGAAGGCTACGTTAGTACTACATTATTACTTCCGAAAGATCCACGCACTGTTTTGCGTACTCCAAAAGAAATTTGTATTAAAAATATAGAAGGAGGACAATATTGGCATCATGGTATAACTGAACCGTTAATGAAATTACTTAAGGATTTCACGCCCATTCCAAATAGCATTCATTTAATCTTTAATTTTGACGGTCTGCCAATATTTAAGAGTGCCAAAAAGGAGTTTTGGCCAATATTAGCCAATGCAGAGGGGAATGTATTCACAATTGGAATATACTATGGTACAGGCAAACCAAAAATATTAGAAGAATATTTAGAAGATTTTGTAACTGAGATGAAATCATTACTTAGTAATGGAATAATTATAGATGAGAAACTTGTTTCTATAAAAATCAAATGTTTTGTTTGTGATTCTCCAGCAAGGGCATTCCTTAAAGGTAAATATTTTTAATTTATGGCCGTATTGAAACTTTAACATTATTGTTATAATCGTGATAGACGAACTAAATTACTATGTATAGTCAATTTTACGAATTATTATTATTATTTTATGAATAATTTTCATTTAAATTTTGTGATGTTCTGTATTCAGTCTTTAATCATTGCTTTAACGCTCGTATGTACTGACTAAATTAGTTAGGCTAAGATTTCAAGGCGATCTTTTCAAATTTTCTAAGTTATTTGTATTGGCTAAATGTGTGACATACTTTTTTCAGGTGTATGTAATTTTAACGGAAGACATGGATGTTTAAAGTGTACGACGGTTGGAGAATATTCGCATACATCTCATACTGTAGTCTTCTCTACCAAGGAAGATTCTCCAAGAACAGATGAAAATTTCAGAGCTAAACTTTACGGAGGTCATCATAAAATAGATTCTCCTTTACTACAATTGCCAATTGATATGGTAGAAGATTTTCCAGTAGCAGATTCTTTGCACCTCATAGATCTGGGTATAATGAAGAGGCTGCTTATTGGGTGGCGAGATGGCAATTTTGGAACATATATGACTAAGCTGTGTGCGCGAGATATTGAAAACCTAGAGGCATTTTTAAAAAACTGTAAATTACCGTCTGAGATCCACCGGGCAGTAAGAAGTATAGATTGTCTCGCTTATTGGAAAGCAAGTGAATTTAGAATTTTTTTTTATTATTTAAGCGTTATCATATTGTCTGATATCCTTCGTGTTGATGTTGTTGAACACTTTTTGAGTATATTTTGCTCTATTACGATATGTTCCAATAAATGTTACACAACTTTACTACCACTTGCCAGAGAAATGCTGAAACATTTTGTAGATCAGTATAAATATTTCTATGGTTCTCATTATATCACCAGTAATGTGCATAATTTACTCCATATTATGGACGAAGTTCAAAAATTTGGCCCTCTTCACAACTTCGATGCGTATCCATTTGAGAATCAATTATATTTAATCAAGAGAATGTTAAGACAGGGTGACAAACCTCTGGCACAAGTTGCTAAGAGAATTTGTGAGAAAAGTACAATTAATCTTTTGATGACAGCAAAAACCACGAATAATGTACCCTACTTGATAACTAGTAAAAGTAATCGTAAAATTCACTTCAAAAACTTTGTCCTCTCTTTAAAGCCAGAAGATAAATATTTTATGACTCACAATGATGATATATTTGAATTAAAAGACTTGTCCCCTGGTAGTGAAAAAGAGGTTACCATAAGTGGTAAAAAAATTTTGAACAAATATATCATATTTGACTTACCGATTAAGTCATCGTTTTTAAGTATGTATAAAGTAAAAGAACCTTATGTTGTCTCTGATGATGTTATAGTAATAAATCCAAATGAAATCAAATGTAAATTAGTTTGTATTAGTCATAAAGATATAATATACTTTCTACCATTATTACATACGCTGTAGGTACTCAAATGATAAGCAAACTTTAATTTGAAAATTTCTTTATTAAAACAGTAAAAATTTAAGAAAAGATTGTTGTACAAATATGGTTTTTAGAAACAAAATATATGTTTGCTTTCACAATATTTTCTGAAATAAATACTCTGTATGTGAATTATGAAAAAATCAATGAAGAGAATATTATTTATCCATCATAATATTAAAAATGCTTTCTTTAGCTTAGATTGCTATAAAAAAACAAATAAGTATACCTAAACTAACTATGGTAACTAATACAATTTAACATATTATGTTGTACTTAACAAAGTAATTGTTTTGAGATAATACAGCCTTACGTATTAGTAGGTATATTTTTCACCTATAGGTATATACAACGTAACAAAAACCCTGTGGTTCCCGTTAAGTATGTTATCAGGATCAGTATTTAAACCTATAGAAATAACTGGTTTTTAAATTTTATTAAAAAAATATTTTATTTTATGTCGTTTTATTGCCTCTTACTGACACTAGCCGATGCTAAAGCTTAGTAAAGCGAGGTATTTGACAATCCTCTTACTCCACCGATAATGCAGAGGTAATAAAACCACATACAATTCGCATACAATTTTTTTTAATTAAAATAAAAAATATTGTTCGAGTTTTTACAAAAAAGTTATTTCTATACGTTTGAATAATGATCCTGATAGGGTTTTAGTTACATATTGTATATCTACTAACTTGATCTACATAATAAATATTAACCTACAAAAATATTTTTAAAAATTCGGTAATGTCTAGTAATTATTTCAATCAGTCTCGATTTCCAATTATAGCCTTACATATGACAAAATAAAAATAGATAAAAATAATACTCTAATAGCTTTAATCTTTACATAGTTTTCAGAATATCAAACGAAATAGTATAATATATAATAAATATTTATAATTGCTTAATGTAACGATTCCTTTTCTTCAATTTCAGACACTTGTCTCCTTTCCAATTATAACGTTACTATTATATTTGGCGATGTCTTTTGAGATATTTTTTATAACATCGCCTTCTTTATTTTCCTTTGTGTGTTCTTCTACTGAATCATTTCTTTTCTTCTTATTTATCGTGTTTTCTTCTTCGTTTATCTCATTCTCACTTTCACCGTTATCAGAAGTTACATTTGTCTCATTTTCTTCTGAAAACTTCATACGTTTCAAATTATTTTTGGGTTTCGAACGTTGCCTTGATGTTGAAGCTCTTTCAAGTTTTGCAATTTTTCTTTTTTTTGGCATTTTTCAAAATCGTTTTGAAAAATAATTCATTATCTTTTAAAGAATATTCCTGATCCCAATAGTGCACCATATTCCAGAAAAAAAGACAAGACATGTTTATAACCTTTTAAAGGAATTTTCAAATCTTCACCTCTGCTGCCCCCACTCCATGAGCACTCACAAATAAATTTCCTTGTAAACATAACATCAACAAGCATATAAGCACAGTCTATAGCTTTACCTCCAGAACAAAGTATAGAATATCTATTTTTCAAACAGTCTCTATTGTTTGGGTCCGATAACTGATTTTCGAGTTCATCTAACTCCTGGGCGCTGTCAACTGGCTTTTCATATATTGGAATATTTTCAACATGGCCTTTGCTGCTATTTAAAGTTTGCACGTCTTGATTATACGATGAAGTTATTTGAAATACTGCGTCTTCCATTTGCACAGACAAAGCAGACACCTTTTGAATGAAACTATTTTGCACATTTTTTAGAGACTGAATCTGGGCGATAATTGCCGAGTTATTATCCAGTTGCTGCTGTCGATTTTGATAAATTTGGCTTAGAATAGTTGCTTGGTTATCTAATATTTGTTTTTGGTTCTCAAACATTTTACTGATGTCAAAGCTTACTGAATCCTGTACTAAAGGTGTAGTATCATTTGAAAAGACTTGAGATGTATTTGTTGAATTTGCTTGAATATCCTCGGTATAAACTAAGTTATAGTTTAATTCAATCGGCAAGTCAGCGGACGATGACGCTATGTCTGTGTTACGGTTAGTCAAAACAACATTGCCCATCTGAAACAAAAAAGAGCCGGTAAAATTTTATTAAACAAGACTTGACAAAGAGTTTAAAAATAAATAGACTAAATGTTTAAAAAACATTAATTCATTCTTTATAGGCTACTAAAGTCATAACCTTCATTTAATATGTAGTTCTTACCATATCTTGTGCTATTGGATTCAGATTTAAAGATTTGTTATGTGAACGTCGCCGCTGCGTATAATTATCGACATCGTCCTCCGTATCACTGTGCTTCAGCATTTCAGATACAAGCTTTTCTCCGTTTTCGTAGCTTAATACATCGGTCCGTTTTACTTTACATTTTATTACGTCCCAGTCTAGCGTTGGTGTTGAATTTTCATCTTTTAAGTACTTTGATATGCATTTATTTGGATATCTGAGAATATTGTTAGATTCCCAACCCGATGGAATAGTAAATAATTTATATTTCTTTCCCTCCAAGGTTTGAACAACTTTGAACGGCATGCTGAAACAATAATAATAACAACTTAGTACACAAATTCAGACAACGGAAAACATACGTAACACGTATATACGTAATTACTCAAGGTATAACAAATTGTCCCAATAGAGAAAATCTTTCTTCATCAATTTACATAGCGTGCCAATTATTATTTTTTTATTTTGACCCACATTTTGGTGAAAGTTGTTAACTTTAATTTATCCTCCACCTCCACACGTATCCCTTAGATATTTCGTTACAACCTGATAAACATAGATCATGTCGTTTGCGGCTCTAAAAGCAAGCATTTGTGGCCAATAAGAACGTTCATATATAAAAAATAATTAAAAACAATTACATAATTTCAATTTTCATAGTTACGAAACTACAAGTGACATTGAATCGGCGATTAAAAAAATCATAACATTGTACGTAGTTGTATATGCAACCCTTAAGAAACACTTGCACTAGCACTTCTTACTAGTTTGTGCTTAAGAAACTTAAAAACTATTAGGTATTACTGGATTTACCGAAGTCACATTTGCCATATGGATGAAGTCGCGGGTAGTTAAAACAAAAAAGTTGTCCCAATAGTGTTTTTGTACATAATAGTACCACGTCATAGGGGCGAAAATAAAGATGAGCTAAACAATATGGTAGATATCTATACCTACATAGAAACAAGGTCTACCTACTTCCACGTACCTATTTCAACACAATATTATATAAATAAACAAATCTTTCGGCACAAGTCCCAACTTACACTATCTACCTATAGTCTAACATTCTATGTTACATTAAGTTAAGATAAATAATGAATGTTATTGAATGACTGACCTTGTACGCGTTTTATTTTCGGGTATCAAAGTGAGATGACCAGACGACACTGCTCGAGCCGCTGACGCATTGATGTCCGTTTTCACTCGTCGACTGTGTAAGACTGAGTGACTGTGACTGACTTATTTTGCGAGTAAGGAACTGAGGAGATATTACGATTGTAATGAGTAAAAGTTATAGAAACCTGGACAATCCTTAAAAATAAATGTTTCTTAGGAAAAGTGGTTTGTTATGATGTGTAGTATAATACTACAATCGAACTAATAAAAAGACACCTTACAAACCATATAAATCATTTACTCGGTTTAAGTAATACCAAAACATTGTTTTTTTGTGATTTTTTTTAATACTTGCAGGTTTTGATTATTTCGTTGAAGAACCCTAATCCATCCAGTTCGTAAAATGTTTAGCCGGTTGTATTGCCTTGGCTATAGTAAGTATATTTATTCAAGTCTATTATTGCACTGTTAAGTATACTAAAGACTGCACAATATTCTTGAGTAAAGATGTTGTATCTCAAAGTGTGTAATAGATGACTTAAGTGAAGACCTAAAGCTTTAAGTAAGTTCGCCATTGTTTTGGTAAACTAACCTATAAATTGATGACTGGATTATTCAATATTTGACAACAAAATACTTCATTATTTTTGTTAATTTTGTTATTCCATTGATGCCACTTAATTTAACATGCCACTGGCCAGGATGCAAGAATAAATATGATACAAATTTGGGGTGTCTGTTTTATTCTTCATAACTTTTATTTGAAATCTCTAACAAATCCTGAGCGCGTTAAAATTGAGATGGAAAACATAGTATACACTTACCGTAAAATCACAATGGCTGATTGTTTTCACTTCACAAACTAAAATAACTTGAACACTTTATTATAACTCCTCTGTCAATTATGTCTCGCCATTCGGTAAGCTGTTCTTCGTTGTCACAATTTTATTATGTCGTTTATAGGATTTCTCAAACGAGACTTGAGCTTGAGAGTATTTTATATAACTATTACGCGTTAAAGTGTAAAACAACTATTTTTAATAGGTCTAATGAAGTTTTGAGTGATAAATTATTCTTAGCCGACGTTTTTCTATGTCCCAGAGTGTTAACTAACCCATCTACAACCACAGTAATACCGGTTAAAGCAATAGCTGAGGATGAATAAACACTCTTATGTAGGTACTTTAACACCTTTATACCGTTGCTCTACAGGCTTTCTATAACCTTTACCTGTAAAATCGTGGGCCTCTTTCGTGGTTATAAGTGAGTTAGAGCACTCTATAACACCGCTGCTACAGGTATTCTTAACACTTTGATACTCGAATGGATCCCATATACGAACGATATACAGGTTGTTTTAACGCTACCGTGCTAGTTGGGAATGTCCTTGTTATATTTTGTTTTCACTATAGTGTAAATTGTCGTTAAGAGGGCGTCCATAAATTTAGTAAGATGTTTAAGGGGGGGAGGGGGCCGAGTCAAATCTCATCTAATCTTACGTTGGAGAGAGGGGGGTCTCGGCAAATGTCACGCAATTTTTCTCAAATCATATGGACATGTTGGTCCCAATAGTCTCTCTTGAGACCGCGCATGATTCTCCATGGACTGAATTAGAGTAGATAATGTTTTTTTAATCACAGTAGTCACCATTTAAGTATTCTATTGTTAAATTTTTATTACACTTATAACTCTCAGCAATATTGATTACTAGTCTTAACTAGTCGTAAATAAAAGCACGAAGCAAATTTTTTTCTTTTTGCAATAATAATCCAAGGCGTTTACGTAAGAAACCCACATTTTTAAAAATCTCACGTGGGATTGGGGGATGGGGGAGGGGGTTGAATAAAATCTCACGACATCTCAC